GTGCAATGCCATAGTACTTAATAGACTCATAAAAGATACAGAAAGAATACCAGAGTGATCATCTTTCACTTGTTGAAGCTACTTTCCACCCATTCCTCTGCTATTCCTTGCTTATTGGATGAGTATCTCTTATGTGTTTTAAGCCAAATGACCTCAAAGTATACTGATTTACTGTACACACAGACAGGCATGCACAGGTATAATAGCCAAATTATAATTTAATAGAAAGTAGGAATAGTCCTAACCATCTTTAGTGTTTTGCATTGTCCCACAAAAATTAAAACAAATGATGGCACATACACGGTATCATAACTATAATCTACAAGCAGAGAAGTCCAAGAAAAAAATGTCATAGATGAAACAGAAGCTCGGATCCAAAGATGTCCCCACAGTTGCCAAGAGCTTTTCTCAGCACCCAAATGAAGGTTCTAGCAGAAGATTATAAAAGCACACAAATCTACCACCACAACCCACTAAAAACAGGAACTTTAACAAAATAATAGCAAGGATTTAGCTAACATTCACAGAGACAGCACAATCTCAATTAAACAAACTAGAAAAAAAGCAACAGATTGAACCTTAGTGATTCAGAAAAGGAAAATGAAAACTAGAACTGAACATCTTGGAACTGAAACTGAAAACCCTAAACTGGTCCAAGGAGAAGGGCAGAGAGACAGTTAAAGAGAGAAGCTAAAAGTTGATCCCTTTCTCTCTTTAAAACTCTCCCTTCAGAACTAGAGACGATTTCGAAGGGATAATTTCAGCCTTTCAGGTGGGTTTTGAATAACACGGTCTGAGCAGATTGTTTTTGAGGATTTTTTTTTTTTTTAAATTATCATTTTTATTTATTTAGTTTATGTTAAGCGGCGTCATTGTGCTCTGAAGGATATCCAAAAAACCCCAGCGTAGAAGTTCGTTCCTTTCTCTCTGCAAAATCCAAAACCCTAGCTTCAAGTTTCAGCTTCGATTTGAGTATCTGGGTTTCATAGGAAGATCCTATGAAAATTTCTGTAAATTTGGATATTAAAAAATCAGAGGAGAATGGATATTAAAAACCAAAGAAATCGTTAGAAATCCAGAATCTTAAATATTAGATTGAGAACTTCTATACGGTAATCACGCTGATATAATTTCTGTAAATTTGGGTTATGTTTGTGGTTTAGTCAAAATCTCTGCTGGTTGGAAGCTGGGTTGACAATGATGATTTGCCAGTCATCAGTTTATTTTTTGCCTGTTTATTGTGTAAAGTTATGTCCTCTCTGATGCAGACTTGATTTAGCTTCCTGAGCATTAGATCCTTCCATAAACTTAAGTGAATATGTATATTATGTGGTCTGTTGCTGGTCTTCATTGATGTTCAAGCAGTTGTATTTTATCTTTAGGTTTAATCCTTCATTGGCATACTTAAAAGAGTTCAGAAGGTTAGATTTCATGGTGTCTATTGGATTCCTTTCTTGTCTGTTCAGAATGTGTCTTCTTTAGTTTCTGTGATACATTCTGTCAAGCAGAACCATTTTGGCAATGGGAAGAAGAAGAATCTGTTTTGCAGTTTGCTTGGTGGACACCCATATCTGTTACTGCGATACAGGTATTTGTTTAAAAAAAAAGGTTACATTTTTCCGTCATGTGAAATTTGGTTTGATTCTTTGATGAAATAACTGACATTTAAAGTGCTTGAAGGTTGAGAGTATAGGAACTAAAGTACTTAAAGTTAGAGGGTTTAGAGACTGATGGTGCCATTATCTCTTTTGTTAATTGTGATAAGCTGTGATTTTGCTCAAATGCTTTTTCCTTTTTCTTTTTGGTATATGGGCTACACACCAGGGATCCCCTTCCCAAACCCCTCCTCAGGATTTGAACTTGAGATCTCCAACATAGAGACTCAAGTTTTTAACCATTGGGACATCCCTAGGGGACATTTGAACTAGCCATTTAGAGTTAGAGTTGGAAAACTTCACACTGAGATATCATTTTAGGAGCTAACTGTCAATGAGTCAGAGTCTACTAAGTTTTGATGGTTTAGACTTTAGAAGCTCAAAAAGTTCCTTTTAATTGTTCGTTTGATGGCATTTCAGATTGCAAATCAAGAACAGCAACCATTCCTTATATTTTATTCGGATTGCAAAATAAAGGTTCCTTTAATCTTTTATGCTAGGGAAGAAAGGTATGGAATCAAGGGTTTTAATTTTAAAAGATGGTGATGCCTGTGTTTGGTTTTGTGCGTATTTTTTAGACTTCATATTTATATTGAAAAATAAATTATAAAAATCAGTATTTTATCAAGGAAAGCTGTTATTGGAAGCTGATATTTTTGCTGAGGAAAAGATTTTTTGATTTATGGTAAATAAGGCATGTGGAACCTAGATGATGATATGGCTGCCGAGTGGCATAATCCTACTTGGCAGCCATATCATCATCTTGGTCCCACTTACCTTATGTACCATATATCATTTTTGGTGTCATGTGAACAATAAGGCATGGCATTGTTAAGGTGGAAAAGCTGTAGAAATAAGATGAAAAAGCATACCGTTGTTGATTATTAGGTTGTTAATTTAATTCTTAAGAACAAGGGAAAAATGTTTAAATCAAGAAACAGATTCTTGTAGCTTTAATTGTTGTTTGATTTTCTAAGTAAGAAGCATGGAAAGGGTTGTTTGTTCTGTTACTGATTTACTCCTTTTAAAAGATTTAAATGTAATTTTTCTACATTAACTCAATTAAAAGAAGAGAAAAGTAAAACAAAGTGGGATGATGTCCACAAAAAAATAGAAAAAGAAAAAGAGCAAAAAGAGAATAAGAGATAAAGTAGGATGGTTTGCCTGAGAACGGAAAAGGGAAATGTATTGGTTTCAAGAATTGTAACTGATAGGATAAGAGATTAGACACTGAAATTTGGATTGAGTGGATTAAAGAAAAAGAGAATTCTACCTCTCATTTTGTGTCATGTTATGTATATTGATTATTGAGAACTGATTTGGGGGCTGAAAGTTAGACACTTAAATTTTTTTGGCCATTGATCATGTGTGGGCCCCACATGATAAATTGCCAAGGTAATTTATGGCTACAATTCGGCCTCTAACTACCTAACTTTTGTAATGACAAGAAATTAACTGCTTGGATTTGTTTTATTGACTAGCCATAAAAGTTTAACCTGGAATGGAAAATAATCTCCAATTCCTATCAAAGTCAATGCTATGCCTTATTTTGCTCTCATATTTGGAAACTCTACTAATATGGTAGAAATTCCATGTTGGCTACAGAGAATATTGCATAAAAGGGAACCTAGTCAGCTCTTGCTTAAACATAGTGGCGGGCGATATGCAATGTACTTATAGATTATAATAGGTAGTATGTCTCTTAGGAACCACATTGGAGGTCTCAAATTCGAATCCTTGGGTGGGTGGAGAGGATTTGAGAAGGGAAGCACCATCCCTATTGTATCACCTGTCATGGTTATTAAATCAATTTTCTCTAGCCAAGGAACTATTCAACAAACTCTTCTTGAGAATGAACTATTTGAGGAACTACTTAAGGGACTCTTCTAAAGAAATGTACTTAACGAACTTTTCTTAA